GCCAGTAACTTAGACATTTCACAAAAGAAAGTATAAAAATGACTAATAAACAAATGAAGGACTAGAATTTTAAAAAAGCCTGACAGTGCCAAATGTTGATCAGACTGTGGAGCAACTGAAACTCGTAAAATGTGGTAGGATGTGGACTAGAACAGCCACTCTGGGAAGGTGTTCAGTAGTTTCTCACAGAGATAGTATCCACCCACCCCTATCTACTCTGTGACCCAGCAGTTCTACTCCTAGCTATTATTTACTCAAGGGAGTGAACGCATTTGTCCCCCAAAAAGACTTGCTCAAGAATGTTTATGCACTTTGTTCATAATAACAATAAACAATAAAATTTTATTTTACAATAAACTGTAAAATCCCAAATATCCATCAAAGAAGAATGGGTCAGTGATGGTATATTCATACAACAGAATAATAATTGGAATAAAAAGAATGAACTAGTGATACATGTTACACCATGGATAAATAAAAAAAAAAAGTGAAGGCAGTCAGTTAAAAAAAATGCGTACTTCATGATTGCATTTAAAAGAAATTAAAGAACAAGGCCAAACTAATATATGGTAATAGTAGTAGCTACCTGAGAGCTTGGTGGGGCTTCGCTGCAAATGGGCATGAGAGAATTTTCTGGGATGGAAGAAGTGTCCTATATTTTGATTGGAGTTGTTACAGAATTCATGGAATTGTATACCTGAGATCTATGTATTTCACTACATGTGAATTTTGCCTAATTTTAAAGAAAAATCCAAAAGTACAAATTGAGAAAGGTCCAAGAATATAGAAGATAAACAGGGTAAAAGAGACAGGAGTGAAAGGGTCTGTAACATACCACATTTTCCTGTAGTATTATTATAGTTCAGTAGAAGTCTTCATAGCAGAATCAATGCTTCCTGGGTTGGTTGAAGTAGTGGGTTAAAAAAAAGAATTAGGAAAAGTTACACATACCTTAAATATTTACATATGAAGTACTAGAATCAGATCTATAGGGTTAATTAACAATCACTGGCCCATGGCAAGGGTTCATAATCTTATGCCGTGTATCTTGTAGACAGTCTGTTGAAGCTTATGAACTGTTTCTTAGAACGATTTAAATTGATAAAATAAAATTCATAGGATTATAAATATGCCTATTAGTTTTGATTATAGTGGTTATAAAATATTTTAAAATATCTATATAATAATAGTTATTAACACATTTAAATCTATTGACAGGTCTAATGTTAATTATGCAGTGTTGATTGTAAATAATATTTTGTTATCTTCAAAAACCATAATTGACATCAGTTAGTGATAAAGTTTTAAGTACTGTTTGATTGACTGTGAAACATATTTTTTTCACATTCAGGTTTATGGACTCTTCCCCCTGCCCCCCTTCATCCATCCACATGTCTTCATTCTCCCATACTTCCAGTAGTTATATTGTAATTTTGATTTAATCAATATTGAGTTTTTAATGTCATAACTAGATAAATGTCATTTATAGTTAAACCCATTTTCATGCACAGTTCCAAAGAATAGCAAGGAGAGATAAGAAAGCATTCCTCAGTGATCAGTGCAAAGAAATAGAGGAAAACAATAAAACTGGAAAGACTAGAGATCCCTTCAAAAAGTTAGAGATACCAAGGGAACATTCATGCAAAGATGGGTTCAATAAAGGACAAAAATGATAAGGACCCAACAGAAGCAGAAGATATTAAGAAGAGGTGGCAAGAATACACGGAAGAACTCTACAAAAAAGATCTTCACGGCCCAGATAACCAAGATGGTATGATCACTCACACTCAGCTAGAGCCAGACATCCTGGAATATGAAGTCAAGTGGGCCATAGGAAGCATCACTATGAACAAAGCTAGTGGAGATGATGGAATTCCAGTTGAGCTATTTCAAATCCTGAAAGGTGATGCTGTGAAAGTGCTGCACTCATTATGCCAGCAAATTTGGAAAACTCAGCAGTGGCCACAGGACTGGAAAAGGTCCGTTTTTATTCCAATCCCAAAGAAAGGCAATGCCAAAAATGCTCAAACTACTGCACAATTACACTTATCTCACACACTAACAAAGCAGTGTTCAAAATTCTCCATGCCAGGCTTTAGCAATACGTGAACCATAAACTTGCAGATGTTCAAGATGGTTTTAGAAAAGGCAGAGGAACCAGAGACCAAATTACCAACATTCGTTGGGTGATTAAAAAAGCAAGAGAGTTCCAGAAAGCATCTATTTCTGCTTTATTGACTATGCTAAAGTGTTTGACTGTGTGGATCACAACAAACTGGAAAATTCTGAAAGAGATGGAAATATCATACCACCTGACCTGCGTCTTGAGAAATCTGTATGCAGGTCAGGAGGCAACAGTTAGAACTGGACATGGAACAACAGTGGTTCCAAATAGGAAAAGGAGTATGTCAAGGCTGTATATTGTCATCCTGTTTGTTTAACTTATATGCAGAGTACATCATGAGAAACACTGGGCTGGGTGAAGCACAAGCTGGAATCAAGATTGCCGGGAAGTGTATCAGTAACCCCAGATATGCAGATGATACCACCCTTATGGCAGAAAGTGAAGAAGAACTGAAGAGCCTCTTGATGAAAGTGAAAGAGGAGAGTGAAGAAGTTGTTTAAAGCTCAACATTCAGAAAACTAAGATCATGGCATCCAGTCCCATCACTTCTTGGCAAATAGATGGGGAAACAGTGACTTTATTTTTTGGAGTTCCAAAATCACTGCAGATGGTGACTGCAGCCATGAAATTAAAAGACACTTGCTCCTTTTAAGAAAAGCTATGACCAACGTAGATAGCATATTAAAAAGCAGAGACATTACTTTGTCAACAAAGGTCCATCCAGTCAAGGCTGTGGTTTTTCCAGTGGTCATGTATGGATGTGAGAGTTGGACTATAAAGAAAGCTGAGCACTGAAGAATTGATGCTTTTGAACTGTGGTGTTGGAGAAGACTCTTGCGAGTCCGTTGGACTGCAAGGAGATCCAACCAGTCCATCCTAAAGGAGATCAGTCCTGGGAGTTCATTGGAAGGACTGATGTTGAAGCTGAAACTCCAGTCTTTTGGCCACCTGATGTGAAGAGCTGACTCATTGGAAAAGACCCTGATGCTGGGAAAGATTGAGGGCAGGAGGAAAAGGGGATGACAGAGGATGAGATGGTTGGATGGCATCACCGACTCAATGGACATGAGTTTGGGTGGACTCTGGGAATTGGTGATGGACAGGGAAGCCTGGCGTGCTGCAGTCCATGGGGTCACAAAGAGTTGGACACGACTGAGCGACTGAGCTCAGCATAAATGATATAGTATATTATAGCTGGTTTTTCCTACACATTTTGTTTTCCCTTCCTTTCTCCTCCTCTTGCTCTCTCTTATTTAGTCTCTGCATTCTTAACTTTAATTAGTCCCTAAACTTGCCCCTAAGTTTGAATCTCTGGAAATGTTTGAGGACATTTGGCATTATATCAATTTCATCTTCTTCAGGAACCATCTGATCGTCCCTAAACTGGCTTAGTTGTTCTCTGAGCTTGCTGTATGACTGTCTACTTGAGTTGTTCCTTCACTATTCATTCAAGGATTTTCTGTTTTTTGTTTTCTTCTCATGAGTTGAATTCTTCAGTTTCTGGAACTTGTCATCTTTTTTCATAGGTATCCCACCCTTGTCCTGGTAGAACACATTTTCTCGTAATTTTCTCATAATTTCCTGAGCGAGAGAATATGTGGAAATCAAAATTATTCGAGACTTTGCTTATTTAAAAATGCCTTTATTATAGATTCACACTTGTTTTATAGTGCATCTTGATATGGAATTCTAGACTAGGAATAATGTAAAGTCAGAAGGTTTTGTCTAATTGTTTTCTAGCTGCTGGTGTTGCCATTTAAAAGAAAGAAGTTATTCTGATTCCAGATTTTTTTTTTATGAAACCTGATTGAGGCAGTTTGTAGGATCTTAAGTTTATCTCTGCAGTATTCCGAAAGTTCGCTAAAATATGTATGCCTTTATTTGGGTCTGTTTTACTTATTATTATTATTTTTTTAATACTCATTATACCGTTTCAGTTTGGAAATTCATATCTTCAGTTTGGGGTCTTTTTCTTGAATTATTTCATGGATTTTTTTCTCTGGGATACCTATGCATAATGTTGCATCTCCTAGATTTTAGGTCTTTTAAAGTTGTCTCTTCTGTTTTCCATTTGTTCTATTTCCTCAGCCTTACAAATTTCTAATCCCTCTGTTACTTACCTCACAGGATTTGATAAGTTTGTATGCATAAAGTATCTAAAGTAGTGCCTGGCATATAAAGTATTGGCCATAATTGTTGTTTAGTTTCATAACTAGTTGTTGAGAGTGAGGTCTTTGGTGTTGGTTTTTGACATAGTAGCTGTATGACCTCGGTCAAATCCTGTAATTTCTTTTACCTACTTCCTTCATCTGTAAAATGTGAATAAGTTCTATCTCTCAGATCTTTGTGAGCATCAAATAAGGATATGTATGTGAAAATGTCTAATACACTGTACAGAACTAGTACTTATTACTTGCATCTTTCAAATATCAAATGTTTTTAGTTTGAAAGAAATGATGACTGAATTACCAGGATTATTTTTAAGATTACTAGATTGCATGTGACTCAAGAAAATGAATAAGCTAGGTAACTTGAGCTAAATGCTAATAATGCTTTTTAAAGAAGTTATTTCTTAACACTCAACTTCATTATGTTAGGCCAAAGAGAGATTATGAAAATATTCCTTTTATGAAAGGCTATGGCTTTACTTCAGATTGTATAAATCTGTGTAATGTAATAATTATAGGAAGGAGCTGCTTACTAGCCTAAACCCATGGAGGGAATATATATTGGAGTTTATTTATTTTTCTTAAATTACATTTGAGATTAGGAAAAATAGAATCTGTCTTTGGTTTTTCTCATAGTATTAATGTAATTTCAAATGTTAGCTCATTTTTGTTAATGGTGGCTTTTTGTTTGTTTGTTTTGTTTTAAGGTTTTTGGATTCAAAGCATAAAAACCATTACAAGATATACAATCTGTAAGTATGTTTTCTTGTTTGTATGCTTGCAAATATCTTCTAAAATAACTATTGAGTGAAAGTTGTTTCCTTGTTAGAGTGAAGTAGAGTTAAAGGTAAAATCTAACGATTGTATTCCTATAACAGTTAGTTCAAGAAGTCTGATTGAGAGCATTGTTAGGTCATTTAGAAAGTATAGTGATGAGGTAAAACAATGTCAGCACAGATTCATGTTTGATCTGCTTTAAATGACTTGGCATCTTGCCCATCTTTCCGCGCATAACCATGTGGTAACTGGAAGTGTAATTCACACAGAACTTCTATTAAGGCATTAATGCCATCTTCTATGGAGGGATGCTTCTAATATAATTTTGTTCTGTGTCTCTAGGTCAATTGACTGAAAAAGTTATTAGTATATTATCTAACTGTAATATAAGATAAATAAGTTACCTAAAATTGTTAAAATGGGTGGTTCTTCTTGTTTGAGGCAGGGGTGTAAGGATTGCCTCTTGATTCAGCTAGCTGACCTTATCTTTAACTTTTCTTTTTTTCTTTTGACTTTGTAAGTAGGGATGTGGAAAAGAAGGAAAGAAAAATGTGAGGAAAATATAAATATCTTACCATTTTTGCCCTTGACCATTTTTTCTTCCCTAAATATTGACCATTTTCTAATTCTAAAAATGATATATAAAATGTGGTATGTTTCTACATGGCTTTTATTTTTCCTGTGTGATATGTATAAATTGTGCATTGGAAAAAATTTTAATACCAAGTTATGTATACTATCCACTATTTTAATTTCTGTAGAGTTTATCAGATGTAAGAAGAATATTCTTTTCTAGAGTGGGCTTTCAAATATTCACCAAAAATATTAAAGTGTCTCTGTGCCTTATTGGCTTATGGCATGTTTCTTTTTTATCTTTAATTTAGTGATCTTTGTGCTCTGATAAGACTTCAGAAGATCTGAGAGTGACATAGGTGTGGGTGTTGTTTCTCTTAATTGTAAAGTGATTTCCTCAGATCCACAAAGAAGCAGACATTTACTGAGTGCCTGTTACATGTTGGACATTCTAAAACATTAGCTAGTGCAGAGGTGAATAAGATGTCGTTCCAGCCCTCAAGTAATTAGTCTAATGTGAAAAGTAGACAAAGTATTACAGAAGAGGTAACTGTTGTATAGAAGAGAGCTATATGGACAACAGTCAAAATAGTGATTGCCTATTATGGGGAAGATTTCATAAAGAACAGAATGCTTGAGCTGAGGTGAAAAGAATCATGAAGGTTGATCAGGCTTAGGAGGAGGGAAAATGGTATTGTAGGCCTAGAAGATGGCATGTGAGAAGCTTGCTGGTGTAATACTGTCTAGGAATATGGCAGTAATTATGCCAGATTTGGCCCATTACGGTCAGATTATGGTGTGGGGAGGGTGCAGTGGTATTAAAATAATAAAATGAAAGAAAGTAACAGGTGCTGTAGAAATTTAGTTTAGGTGGGTCCCAGTTTACAAATGATCTGTGCATATATCTTTTTCTTTTCTGTATTAACCTCTTCTGCAACAACTTTTGTTGCAGGTGCCAGAGGTTTTTATGTGGAGGGAAATAAGTCACAGAGTTTCGTAGGTTTTGAATAAATGGATTTAGAATTTAAGTTTAAAAAAAAAGAGGTCATGAACTGTCAAAAGCTAGAGTTCACTAAATGAGTCATTTTGGATTTAGACTCTGAGGATTGAGCATGTAGAGCCCCAGAAGGAAGGCTTTAACATTATATCCAAAGAAAAGAAAGGAAATACTTTTCATTCCTGTATGCAGTGGCTTCCTGCTTCCAGAATTTAGAACTTAGGTTTGTACTGTCAGTATTGTGGGTCAGTTGTGTTATTTGGTTAAAGTTGGCATTGGGATCTAGCCTGGAAACTTGATTGCCTGTTTGTATATCCAAACATTGGACTCTTAAGTTAATGAATTGTCTCATTATTAGTAGAGAGTAGCTTTTGGTGCACATATTTTAACTCCCTTATTCCCCCATCCATTTAATGGAATCATAGAATTGGAAAGTACCTGAAAGAGATCATTTAGTTCAACCTTCTCATTTTACAGATGGGGAATCTGAGGCCTAGAGAAGTTAAGTGAGTTGAACAAGGTCACACAGGTACATATGTTAGCAGACCATCCACTGTTGATACCAATATTCCCTTTCTGGTTTTTTTGTTTGTTTTAACTTCCCCAAATTTTACTTCAGAAGTTTCTAGAACTACCAAGTTATAGCATGTTTTGATTTCTGACATTTTTCAATCTTCTTTACCTACCCCTGTTTATATTTCTGGCTCTGGGTAAGTGGGTCTGATAAGTAGCAGATGTTTCTATTTTGTTTCTTTTATTTTTAGGATATTAATAACATGTGATATATGTCTTTGAAACCATTTGTAAGTGGAAAGATCTTAAAATACTTGTGCTTAACATACCTATATTCAATAGTATATTAAATTTTTTTATGGCAACTATGACATGTGGATGAAGATGAGTTCTTAACATGGACTTTCTAATAATTGACTGTTTATATTTCTATATTATTAGGCATTCAGTAAGGTTATTTTAAGAAAGGACAGAATTGGACTCAAATCGTTAACCAAATTCAGCTATACTTGGTGAATTAGTACATTAATCAATTCATTTTGTGCAAGTGTGTGTATTTCATCTTTGTATGTTCCTCTGTAATCTATCTTCTGAGGTGGGTAAGGTGAGGAGGGGGAAGATAGGGTATAAAGAGATAATATAGTTCTTGCCTTTGAGGAAGTTAAGTGTTCCTCAGATACTTTTAAAAGTTTGACTATTTCATCATATATTCTCTTTAACATACAACTCTCCATCTTTTTGTGGTAAACCTTTAGCTGTTATTAATTTTTATCTATTAAGTTTTCTTTTGTAAGATAGGGATAGCTCTGTTGAAGAAAGTAAAGAAGAGACCTACATGCCTAGCTGAATCTGTGGCAAGTCTCACTTCTCTGGAAACTTTTCCTGTTAATCTTATCCCTATCTTCATTTTCTGCTGCTTCATAAAAACTCTTTCAGTGTATCTTCATTTTTTTATCTCGTAAAAGCCAAAGGAGATGATGGTTTTTAAAAGATGTCTTTTGAGTTCTATTTATAAGGAAGCATAAAGGTTTAAATCTTCCTAACACTTGTCTTGGTCAAATCCCATTTCCCATTCGTATATGTTCAATTTTGGTTTGTTTTGGAAAACTTGTCCTGTCACTAAAATACCACAAAAAATTTATAAGGAATAGTGTGTCTGTGTATTTGTGCAGTTATCAGAGAAGCTTTAATTGAGGGTCTTCTTTTTTACCCCACTAACCTCTCCCCAGATCACTTTTATCCCTACCAGACCCAGTATATGTTTTCACATACTCCCTATCCATACTTGTAGAGATTTTTGCAATTTTTTTTGTCATGTTTTCATTATCACTGTTTGTTGGTTCTGTTATGCCGAATAATGCTCTTGTAGGAATGCTGACTTTGACTAAAATTTGTTATTGTTTTCTAAACTGTTTTATATTCTTTGTTTTATGTGAAACTGTGAAACAGTACTGAGAAAAGTTCAGCTTTTGTAATCAGAAGTGCTGGGCTCTTCCATTTATATATTGTGGTTTGGGGCAAGTTTTGTAATGCTCTTCTAAATCTTAGCATTCTCATATATAAAATGGAGATAATATTAACTATTATATGATTGAGAGGATGAATATATGGTTGAGAGGATGAATTTGAAAACGTGGAATCTTATTTATAAGGTATGCACATCTAGTAGACATTTAGTAGCTCATGGTTTTCACTTTCCCTCCGTTTTTTTCCTGTTAACGATATTACTTGAGAATCAAAGTATGAAGGTAGTCATAGTGTTTGAGCTGCTGAAAAAGTATGGGAATTTTATAGATAACTGAAGCTGTATGAAATTCAAAATGTTTATTTTTGTTTTGCTGTCATGAGACCAGTTTCTTAGAATTGTTTCCTGGCATATAGTGCTCCCCTTACCTCCTAAGCCCTATCTTTACATGATTCCTTATAAAATATTCCATTATGGACTCTTTGGCTTCGCTGGTAGCTCAGATGGTAAAGGATCTGCCTACAATGTAGGAGACCTGGGTTTGATCCCTGGGTCAGGAAGATCCCCTGGAGAAGGAAATGGCAACCCACTCTAGTATTCTTGCCTGGAGGATTCCATGGATGAAGGAGCCTGGCAGGCTGCAGTCCATGGGGTCGCAGAGTCAGACACAACTGAGCAACTAGCACTGACTTTCATTTTTCACAGATTGTTCACTATTGACCATACTCCTCTTTCATCTGTACCAAAGACAGTGTAAAATGGTACTATTTTCATGGTTAGTTCTCTTCTTTATGTCATTTTAAAAAAATATAAGTGAATATGAAATTGTTTAGCAAGGATGTGTATATATGCATGTCATTATTAAATAAATTTTCTTTTTAGCAAACTCAGTATACTGAATTATAATATCCTAAAATGGGAAAACTTGATTTTCAGTGGTAGTATAAAAGCTGATTTGTTTCAGATCTGACCAGTTAAAAATTAGTGGATTGCAGTTTGCTTAGAGTTATTTCAACTTTCATGTGTATTTTTTTTTTTGCCACAACCACAAGGCTTGTGGGATATTAGTTCCCCGACGAGGGGTTGAACCTGGGCTCTCGGCAGTGAGAGCACCATCCTAACCACGTGACTGCCAGGGGACTCCCTATCTTCATGTGGATTTCACTTTAAAAACTGTTTAAAATAAAAGAACTTTACAGATACCCTCAGGATTTTTAAATGTAAAACACAGGTCCATAACTGCTTATTTGAAACTCTTTGAACTAATTTTGTTTCAGCATTCAGAATTTTTCAGTTTTTTAAGAAAGTTAACATGGAAATATATATTTTGTATTACGTAACACCCCAGCAGGATTTGGAACAGTACTTAGAATAGATTGTTTCACTCATCATTCTAAATGTATTTCTATTAATTAAAGACTACACATTTTTATTAACTCAGATCTAGTTCTCCTGCAGTTGAATTTGCCATACAGTTAAGAGAAAATTTCAGATGTTTAAAAATTTGGGGATTTTGCAGTGGTGGTTTAAAAGGCTTTATTTGTTTTAAAGTGCTAACCTGGTTTGACTAGTAGTTGGAGTTACCAGGATGCTGCTGACCACAAACTCTACTGTATGGAATCCCTTTCTGAGCCTATAAGTGTGGCCTGTTAATCATGAGTCAGCCAGTGCGTGATAGCAAATGTGTGACTACTGGTAAAAAGACAAATTTTAGCATGCTGTAAAGATGCTAAGTCAATGTTTTTCTCTATTGATTTTACTTACTACTCTTTCATTACTCTCAGACTTTAATTAAAATTTACAACCTGAGAGATTATTGAAAAAGATGACCTTTGGCTTATCTACAGAGGGAAAGATCAGGTTTAAAATAACTGAGTAAATGTTGTGTTTGAGTAGATTAGCATCATTCACTTTCATTCTTTGCTTTAAATTTGCCCCTACTTTTTTTTTTTAACTGTTTTAACATATATCTTTTATAATAGTTTGAGAAAACTATGTATGCTCAACTATAAGGCAAAGATAAAATTGAAACTAGTTAGTTATTTACACATACTTGTGAAATAAAAAAAAAAGTCCTTTAGCATGTATAATATTCATAAAGGAAATGGAGAAGGTGTGGATGCAGGTGAATTTGCCCTGTTTTATATTAGTGACATTACAAGTTTCGTAACCAAATATATAAGCTCTGATTGTGTACACTTAGCATTTTAAACCTAGATTTCCTTAATTGTAAACTATGGATTAAAGAATGGTACCTAAGGAAAAAAAAAAAAAAGATCCAGCACAGCCAAATAAATATTTTTCAAAAAGAAAAAAGAATGGTACCTACTTCATAGGATTCTTAGGATTAAAAGAAGTAGTTAAGATATTTAACATAATGCCTGGTACATTATGAAGGTTCAGAAAATATATTTTACTGTTATACTTTTTTTCCTCAAGTGCACAAGATAATTTTATATCAAATTAAAATTTTTCTTTTAGATGTGCTGAAAGACATTATGATACCGCCAAATTTAATTGCAGAGGTAAGTATAGGTACACTTACTATGTTAGATAACTTGAGGCCAACAGTCTAAATTTTACTGTCATACCAATAATGAATAATCTCAAGTATTAAGTGATATAGTCATCTTAAAGATGATCTTAGAAAATTTGAAATTAATTTTGCTGTTGTGTTTTTGGAAACAAGTGTCATGTAAATGAGGAAGACTAAACTGAATTAACTGAAAACTAGGAGAAATTTATAGACTAACAGAATAAAGAGAGGATTATATCTGTGATTTGAGGCGTTTGGCGTAATAGTAAGAGATTACAGGGAGAAGGGAGAATGATTTAATTCTATAATGGAACATGACCTGCACAGTGGAAAAAGGGTATAATGAAATATGGATAAAAGGAGCCTGATAGATGAGAGCAAGAACTGCTTTAAGTGAGTTTTTCTCCAGGTGTAGTATATTTTATCTCAGAGTCCACAAAAACTTTCATTTGTGTCTTTGGAACTCTTAGAACGACGAGAGACCGGGAACGTTGAGAAGCAAATATATTTGCCATTGTTCCTTCCTAAATATTTAGGACAGGCTTTCAAACAGTTAGTTTAAGAATTCAGAAGTGCTAATAACTGAGAGCTAGGGTAGGTTTATTGCTAAGAATGTTTCATTTTTGGTGGATTTTTGCTATTTACTGGTCAAAGAGTGTTTTAATCGAACCTTATCCACCTTTGGATAGACATTTAACAGGTCTTCCTGGATATTTTTGTATGCCATTGGGGAAATGAAGATAAATGCTGGTTCAGCTAGGCAGATGGCTAAATCAAAGCTGTCCTGATGGCTCCCTGTAGTAGTAGTCACTGTCTGAAGAGCTGTTCTGTCATATCAAAGGCTTAATTGAGTGTATCTGTGTCACATTATGAATGATTTGGTTGAAGATATAAAAGACATACTTTTCACATATTTAAATGACACAGGATAATTAGTTGAATGTTGTCAGGATTTTTATAGAGTGGAACCTAGGCAGAGACCAGTAAGATAAAATTTAAGTGATATATTTAAAGTCTTATTTCTAAGAAAAAAAATTTTTTAAAACCTCAACCCAAACTATGGGGAACAGAGAAGTTTTGAGTTCTTATAACTTATGTGAAAAGTCCTGAAACTTTGCTTGATAAACTTTGCTGCAGTTGTATACATTATTAAAAAAAAAATTTTTTTTTAGTGTCTTTTGTAAGTGTCTTTAGAGTTGTGTGTATGCAACAGTTACATTTTCAAGACCATCTTTAAAACCACATGCTTGGCCTTTCTGTTATATAAAGCATAAAATGCAGTCTTTTGCACTGTTGATTTATTAGTGTTATGTACTTTCTTTGGAATACATACTTTGTGATAATGCAGTGTTATAGATATTACAGTTCCTTCTGCTAGAAAATGTATTGAGAGTCCTGATAAGAAGCTATGTGATGTTTCATTGTGAGTTTACCTCTTCCTCTGTTATGCTGTGACCTCTGATATGTTGCTCCTCCATTGCCTCCATCATGAAGTGAGGAATACTTGGCTTACCTTTCTAATGGATAAATTTGAGTTAATAAGAGATTATTTTCTGTTCAAAAATTAGAAAATTATCAGGCAATAAATTCTTTTTCTTTATGGTTCGGATATTTTTAAACTATTTGTATGCAACATTTCTAAAGTTAACCTACTTGTAATAAGCAATTCAAGTGAAATTATTTTCTTATTCTGAGGTTATCTTTTTATCACAGTTGCACAGTATCCCTTTGAAGACCATAATCCACCACAGTTAGAACTTATCAAACCCTTTTGTGAAGATCTTGACCAATGGCTAAGTGAAGATGACAATCATGTTGCAGCGATTCACTGTAAAGCTGGAAAGGGACGAACTGGTGTAATGATTTGTGCATATTTGTTACATCGGGGCAAATTTTTAAAGGCACAAGAGGCCCTAGATTTCTACGGGGAAGTAAGGACCAGAGACAAAAAGGTAAGTTATGTTTGATTTTTTTTTTCTTCTTCTGTCTTCTTAGATCTGAGAATTTATTGGAAAATAAATTTTTACAAAGATAGTTGGTAACCCGTATTTTCCTTCCTCTAAACATTTAAGTCAGTATGCTACCTTAACTTTCACACGAGCAAATGGCAGATTCATTCAGTTTTTCTGTTCATGCCTGCATTTTCATATCATGTTGGCAGATCTTACCTATTAACAGGATTGCAAAGTTTGGTCTCATGAAATCTTTACAAAGCATTTGAAAAAGCACGTTGATCAAAAGTAAGATTTATATTCCTGAAACTTGCTTGAAAATATAATGTTTTTGGATAACTTGGATGCCATTACTTAGTAAAGTGCAATCTTTACTTTTATAATACATAAAGATTGTTTTTTGATTTGAATATTTGTAAGTGAAATTATAATTAAGATTATTCAAAGGTTCTTATTCAGAAAACTAAAGGCTGCTAAAAATCATTGACAAATTTGTGTAATACATATGAAGTGAAACTTCAAAAGAGTTCACTTCAAAAAGTGAACTCTTGGGAGAATTTTTACAGTGATTTTCAAGGAATTTATTTCTTTGGATAGTGAGTATGGCAAAATATGTTTACATTTCTTTCAAAGGGAGTTTGTACATTTCTGTCTCCAAGAAAGAAAAAAAACAAACTACTTCAGATAGATAGGGAAAAGAGAGCGCTATTGAGGAAGACCTCTGAACTTTATGTGAAAATTTATTATAGTTTTAATAATTTTTACAATGAGGAGGGCTTTCTTCAAGTTTCAACTAGTTTCTTTTTAATTTAACTTCAAAACAGAAACATAGGTGATCGTAACTATCATTTTCAGCTGGATAGTTGCATTGATTTTGTTCCTTTACTTCTTCCTCACTTGTTTTATTTGTTGTTACTTTTTTGAATTATATCTAAAGATACCAAAGCATGGTTTATTGATGATAGTTTGCAAAATTGAATCTTACTGTTAATGCATGATTTGGTGAATATTGATTATAATAACTTGCTGTACATTTCTGTATACTGCGTGTACCGTGAAACGATAGCACTAAAATGAATTCCAGAGCAGAGGACCTGAGATGTTTATTTTGGTTCATTCTTTCTTCATGTAGAGGGAAACAGCTGCTTTTACTGATTGAAAGTATAGAAGGTAAATTTTTCTGTACTTAAGTGAGTAAATATAGGACAGCACAAGGGAAAGAGACTGAATGAGAAGAAAAGCTAGAGAGATGGATCAAATTAAAGTACAGTCACCGAAGCAGTGGTAGAAATTTAAAACAGGGTTGATGAGCACCACACATTTTGGTCTTTGAAAAGAAAGAAGGTAAAAAGAATTTAAAAATAGAAAACTTTTGTAATGTGAAGCCAGAACTAGCTTTCAGGTCAGTTCAGTCACTCAGTCGTGTCCGACTCTTTGCGAACCCATGGACTGCAGCATGTGAGGCTTCCCTGTCTATCTCCAACTCCTGGAGTTTACCCAAACTCATGTCCATTGAGTCGGTGATGCCATCCAGCCATCTCATCCTCTGTCGTCCCCTTCTTCTCCTGCCCTCAATCTTTCCCAGCATTAGGGTCTTTTCTAGTGAGTCAGCTCTTCGCATCAGGTGGCTAAAGGATTGGAGTTTCAGCTTCAACATCAGTCCTTCCAGTGAACACCCAGGACTGATCTCCTTGCTGTCCAAGGGACTCTCAAGAGTCTTCTCCAACACCACAGTTCAAAAGCATCAATTCTTCGGCGCTCAGCTTTCTTTATAGTCCAAATCTCACATCCATACATGACTACTGGAAAAACCATCACCTTGACTAGATGGACTTTTGTTGGCAAAGTAATGTCTCTGCTTTTTAATATGCTATCTAGGTTGGTCATAGCTTTTCTTCCAAGGAGCAAGCATCTTTTAATTTCATTGCTGCAGTCACCATCTGCAGTGATTTTGGAGCCCAAAAAAATAAAGTCAGCCACTGTTTCCCCATCTATTTGCCATGAAGTGATGGGATCAGATGCCATGATCTTAGTTTTCTGAATGTTGAGCTTTAAGCCAACTTCTTCACTCTCCTCTTTCACTTTCATCAAGAGGCTCTTCAGTTCTTCTTCACTTTCTGCCATAAGGGTGGTGTAATCTGCTTATCAGGTTATTGATATTTCTCCTGGCAATCTTTATTCCAGCTTGTGCTTCATAGAACTAGCTTTAAGTTAGGGACTTTTAAACTATTTACGTTATATACCTTTTTAAAATTATGAAAAAAAAAACTAAATATTCCCCGAATAATGTTTCACTTTTTTATGCCAGAATCAGTGGCCACTGCTTGAGAGTAATGAATAAATCCGAGTGGTACAGATTAAGCAAAATTAAACTTTGGTTTTCTGCTCAGTAGTAAATTTCGTGAAAGAGTCCTACTATTTAGTCTTTAAATAACACATTGAAACTATGCCATTGTCTCTGACTTGGCAATTTTTATGTCATTTTTGATATCCAGTTAGCTTTGACTTTGTTCTTGGTGAAAACAAATGCTCAGAACCCTATCTCATGAAAGAATGAAAGAGCAAACTGGAATCTTTTTTTTTTTTTGCCAGATGAAAGTAGGCTTGTGTTAGCAAATAAGAATTCTCTAAAACTCTTCAGATTAATTCATGTTGCGTCATTTTCTTTGCCATCTAGTTATTGAGATCATTTTTGGCAAGATCCTGCATGTGTTAGGAAGGAAAGGAGTATGACTCCACAGTTTTGTTTCAATATTGAAGAGTTAAACTGTGTTAATGAATTCATATATTATGCAGGTAAAAATCTAGCTATAGTATTTGTCTTCCTAAAGCCAGTGAACTTAATGTGTAGCAAAGAATTGCATAGATGCTACCACTTCTTGACAAAAACCTCTTAAGAATCCTTTATTTAAAGTCCTGACTTTCCTGAATTTGGCAACTCTCTCAACAGTAGATTTTTTTTGTGAAAAATCCTCTTGCACAGTCTATGATTCAAGACTTGGCTTTTGTGATGCAGTAGGATACTTTCACAACAGTAGATAAGCTTTCTCTTGGGATTAATGGTAGAGTCTTATACATCAGTGCATTCTGGTGAACACAGGATGGAGTCACAGTGACAGGTAGAGCTTCTGATTTTACCAGAGCCGTAGAACCATATGTTTTGCTAGGCATTAAGGTGTACTCTCTGTCTACAGAATAATGAGATTGCTTCAGAAGCCTTTTTCTGGGCCAGGAAACTTCACCGTTTTGAAAATGTTAATGACCTCTGAAGTTTCCAAAAAGGACTCCAAATCAGGAGTTATTGTTTGTGTCACCATGCATGTATTTGATGAAAACTAGTAGCTGGCTAAGCTGAGACATATGCTGCAGAGAAGTGGCACCTCCAGTCCTTTCATGACCTGCTTCATAGTTTTCAGGGGTTTTTTTGGAATGGAAAAAATTGTTTGATAGAGGTACTACAACAGTCTTACTTTTTCTGTTGCAGACTACAAGTATGACCTCATCTAATGGTTAGAAATAATAATATATATAATAATATATTTTTAACTTTTAAAAATGTGTCTTTCTCTTACATAAGAAAACAGTGGAAAATAAAAATAAGAAAGCTTAGAAAAATAAACTTTCTCTTATCATAAGAAAACTTAGTGGAGCATATTAAAGCTGATGTTAACAACTGTGGAATTTTTCCAGAGAAATAAGTATCTTATAATAAATGTAATTAATTATCCAAAGTAGTTTTATTCTTGAAACATCTGCTAAGAGATTTATCCTCTTACCAGTATTTTAGGTTGAGTCTATGAATTTGAATTTTTGAAATTGTGAACCACAATTATAGAAGATATATGTATTTTATCAGTTTTGCAGTTTGTGTAGGATTAATTTTATTAGAACTGTCTTTAATGGTCTTTTGCTTGTATCCTTAACTGTCTTGAGCTGTCAGGGAAGCCCAAGTTTAACTACAGAGAAACGCTGAGATACTGAGGAAAGTTATGTCCTTGTGACATTTTTATAGGAGCAAAATATTTCTTCTCCTCCTCTTCCCCTTCCCCTCCCTCTTCCGTACCCCTCTTCCGTGCTGCTCCTCTCCACTCCTCCCCGTTGATTTGAAGAAAGAGGAGCTAGTTGTCCTGTTTCTGTTTTAAGATTTATAGACTTTGCAGAGACTCTCCTCAGATTAATCTAGTGCAGTCTTGCCATTTTTCTTGGTATACTTGGTACAAATTAGATGGCAGAGTGGTGGGTGCCTCTTTACCATAAAGTGTGCAGTTAGTAATACCCAAATAATACTCCCGGGTTTGATTGTTGCAGAGAAGTCAAAGTACAACTGATAACCTCTTACTTAAAAAAGTTTCTTGAGAGTAGGATAACTACTTGAGGGAAGACTCTTTTATTCAGTAATTTATAAGAAAGAAACCATGTTATTACTTTTCTAGGAATCATTTCTTTGCATATTTGGTCTTTACCTTATGAGCACATGGCAAAAAGTCTAAAATGAGCTGTTGATGGTTTCCACTCAAATAAAGCTTCTAGGGTTGCTTCCCATCTAGTCTATGCCTTACCCTATTTGCATTTGTACTTACATTTCAGAATTAAAATAGATAACCATATTTATTACCAACTATGAATTGAATTAAAATGCCCTACCAATACTGGTAAGTGTATATTTTGGAAAGATGCCCCACATTTCTGAATTCAGAGAGATAAACTTCTATTCCATGACAAACATACCCAAAACCTCTGCTACTCTTCTCTTTCTTTTGTCTTCTCCCTTCTAGAGTGGTGGCAGATTAAGTATGCATTAATACTTACTTTCTTTAACTTTTAGGAAAAAATTTTGAGGTTTTGATTTTCTTTTTGAGAAGGTTTGTTTTCAAAGCAGTTATTAAAGTTCTTGTGTGTTATTAATCTCTATATGTGAATTTGTTAGCTTATCTTTAATGAAGACTTCTATCTTCTAGAAGTAATAGATACTTTATTCTGAGTGACCCCAAGAAGAGGAA